CAGTACATGTTGTGCTAAAATACGCAACAATATTAAGTAATGATGTCACTTGATTACGCCTATCAATCAAAATTTCAGCACACAATTACAAAAGACCTATTTGCAAATTTTGCTTAAAAACAACTCAACGCTTTGTTTGAAAGATACTACAAGACTCGTTTTCCAGAGTAACTGTTTGCTATATCTAAAGGCGTAAGCATGCTCACGTTGCGGTCCAATTACTTTTTATGTATGTGTGTTGGGGAGGGGGAGGCATCTTTTGCAGTTACTGGATATATCATTTATAATAATTTAAAATATTCAGAAAACTCAATTATCAAGTTGATTTTTAATAATTTTCTTACACTAAGATGTTCCACTCTGGCTAAGTAAAATTGCCTATTTTTCAGCAACTTAAAAAATGATAGCTGAAAAATTTGCTAAGTTAATTGCTGCTAGTATACGAACAATAAAAAAGTTTCTTCTTTGCAAGAGAAAAATTTCTAAGAAGTAAAAAAACAACGAACGACTTTATTTGTTTTAAACTACCACACATGCACCAGGAAGACCGAGCCACACTTCGCACGTCTATTGTTTACGTGCTTGAAGAAAATGATTCACGTATTCAAATATAAAGTTTCTAAAATTTTAAATAGAGCTGTCCAGTGAACAAAGAACTACGCATCGACTAATCTGTAAAACACTCATCATCCTTGAATTTAGACCTTAACTAAATTCAAAAACCAACGAAGAAAAGACAAACGTAGGAATAAGTTGTTTTTTTGAACATACATTTTATTTTTAATTTACAGTGCTTTATATAAGAGTTAATAGGAATGTTCGAGGTTATAAGAAAGAATTCACAGTAATATTCAACATTTTTCAAGGCACTCTGAGAATATAATAGTTATATATTGTTATTTGTGAGAATTTTGAAATTGTTTTCCATTTCGTAAATTTCCTATATTGGACTACATGAAAATAGATGACAGGACACCAATGTTAACAATTTTATTTAATAAATGTTTAAATATCTTTCCGCAACGTAAATGCGAACGTGTCGAAGTGATTTGGAGTATTTCTCGTGAAACAATCCAAATATTGTACCCTTGCGCTCATAGTGTGTGCTATTAAAAATAGTGCAAAACGTACAAGTAGAATCGTATTTTGTGCACATGCATAATACAGTATCTTTAATTAAATTATCAGATAATAGAAATACATGCATTGTACAATTACGCACTGTGTTCTTCACCAAAGAAAATTTATAAAGCCAGTTTTCTAGCTTTTGTCCCGCCTATTCAAATATAGCATACAGGTAGCCTAACGCAAACCAGTACAAGTACCGCGAAAGAAGTCAAAGGCTTGTCAGTGAAGAGAATCGGCGTGGGTTTAGTCACACCCGATGAAAGTAATAGTGGAAAGTTAACCCTTAAGCATAAAAGTGATCAAAACTATCTTCATAGGTAAGATGTATTGGTGTTTTTTGAAATATTTAATCAATCGATGTGTATAGGTAATAACTTTGAACTTTTCTGTAAATTACTTGTTTGAAAAATGACTGGTTTTGGTGTAAATCTAAGCCAGTATTTGTTTTTTACTTTGCTTGGGTTCAAAGACACCTGTAGTACTATCAACTCTTGAGTCTATGATTATTTGTACTGTTACAATTAGTATAACTTCAAGATACTGCCGGTACTGGTCCCTAACATTAGGCTTAGGTACGACCACCGCCTAGTCGTTGCATATGACTCATCTTCTAGTATAAGTATTACTAAGTTACAAAAGTTAGCGAAGAATGAAAGGCATTTTGCATTACACAAGTTTACGTAGCTTTTTAATGCCTTTAAAGTTTAAACTTGGAAAAACTCAATATTTTGTTTTATCGATACTACTTCGAGTTCGACGAAAAAGTAGAGTATTGATTAAAACTGACGATTCCACAATCTTTAAGTTTAAAAATCACTTAACACTTAAAAATGTTTTATTATTCAACAAAAAATAATTATCTTCAAACATGCAACTTTGTTATGATATTAATACTATACTGGCAAGACAAGATACTAATGCTAATGTAGATAATTTTAGGTAGTTTTATTTAATATTACCCTTAAGATATAATCTGAATCAGTAAATGAACATCTGAAGGAGTTAAGCTTCACTTGCCAATAAAACTTTTACTTTTAGAAGCAGATGAGTTGAAAATTATATTATTTTTACTTCAGGGTAGTACAAGGTAAAATTTTGTATATGGACGTTTTTAATTTTCAATTCTGGTATTTTTAGCCATGAAATTTAATTGTGTAGTTATGTGTGACTATTTTCCTGAAGAAGTGAAAATTGAAATAAAGTATAAGTTTAGCACAAAACTGTTAACTGAATAGTGGCTTTAGCTAACCCAACTATGTTACCAAACCTTAAATGTTGTAAATCAAATCACAGTTTTTACTTAATTGGTTATTAAGGATAGTATTTAGCAGAATTATTGAACTATGATAGTCATTTATAAGGCTTGGAATATGCAAGTTGCTGTTGTGTATAAAGCATTCCTATATGGTAGCATATCTGTTTTTAAATGTTTTACACGTACATCAAATAAATCAAATGTTTATACTGCCAATAATGATTTAAATGCAGTGCAAAAATAAAGAAGGCAGTTTATTTTTATAAACATAATAAAACAAATATGTTATGGATCATTTAATTTGAGAAATTTATTACTGAAACAGGTGTTAGTGATGTATTACACACTGTGGAGTTAAGTTTTTACTTGTAGTCTAGAGGACCTAAAAAAATACTTGAATGAGTGAGACATGGGAAAATCATACCATGTTAGCAAACATAGCTAACTTCATACTTACAAATTACTGTTTGTAAGATGTTGCCCTCTTGTGACATCATATATTTTTCAGATAAATTACTTCACAGAAAACTATTATTACTGAAACTTTCCCTCATTATACATTATACCTTAAAACTTCAAATTACTAGGAACATTTTTTTTTATATGTAAAGATAAACTTCATAAAGTTTTAGGTCATCTTGTAACAGTTTCAACTTCAGTAGTAGTACACACACACACATCTGAAACAGAGTGAGTTTTACAAGTTTTAATTCAAAGAAATTGAACAGATATAGTTGAAACTTCACATGCTTGTAGCGTGGACAACGAACACATGCTTCTAAACAATGGCTAACAGCTTCTGGGGTTTTTGTTGTTAACATCATAGTATTAAATATGTGATTGCACCTTGGCATTTGGTCTCGTTTATTACTAACAAGCTGTTTGGGTTATTCATTTTACTTTAAAAGTGATTTTAACTTTATCTCTGTTTTGAAGGCCTGCATGTTTTAAGTTAACTGAATCTTATGTATAACTATGTAATACTTTTCTCAATTTTTGTTTTGACTATGACAGAAAAGGCATTCAAACGAAAGTGATTACTTTTGTGAAATATACATAATGTGACATATTGAACTTACTAGGCCTTTATAATTCAAAGATTCTTGTTAGAAAAACTGTAGAAAAAGGGTTTGTTTGAAGCTTGTATTTAATGTTTTTTTTTTGTTGTTGTTGTTAGGAAAAATTTTTGATTTCCTGAGATATTAAAAGTTCTGCAGATTTTTCTAGAATATTGAAGAAAATTTTTAATATGAATATAAACCAGTGAAAGTAGGTTTGTGATAAACTTTAGTCCACTTTACTGTAATTCTTTAGGATAAGTACATCTAAAAATGATTGTTTGTTATGGTTTGAATTTTCAACAATAAATTTTATCTTTGGATATTTGATCTTGAAATATTGAAATTTATCAGTAAGTTTAATGTCAAAACTGTAAGTGTCATCTATATGTATTATACAATGCTAATAAACAGTGATTTTTTTTTGTATTTATAGAACAGCTTTAAGCATGCATTGTACAATTTTGTTAAAATAAAATATCAGTTTATGCACAGATCAATGATTTCATCTTTTGGTATATTTGTGAAAAGTGAATGTCATAATTGCCAAAATATACATTATAATTAAATTGCATCTATAAACTGTAAACAAGTTAAACTGTGCCTTTAACATATTTAATCTGAACAGACTATCACAAACTTGAAAAAATTTGATAATGATTAGCTGTAACTATCTATTTTCATTATAATGACAACATATAACCTGTGGACAACATGGGAACATTTGATCCTTCAAGGCTATGTTTGCACCACCCTTCCTGGGGAAAAGTGAAAATTTAAATCTACCCTTTACTTTTTTAAGAAATTATTTATCCCCTCTTAACTGGAGCCTAGCCTGTATTTTCCAAAATTTTAAACTTGTATCATTTCATCCTGTTACCTTCAGAATATAGCATAAAGAAATCACAGGTTATTAGTACCACAAATAATCTTCTAAACTTTGATAAAATCAACTCTTAACCATTTATCAAAATAATTTAAGAAATCTAACTTATTTCCTCGTGTATAAGATAAGCCTGACATCATGCTATTAGCTCTGTTCTGAGCCCTTTCTAGTGAGTCAGTATCCCATTCATAAATAAGACCAAAATTGTTTGCTATTCCAAGTGAAGAGTAACTTGTCATTTACATAGAGATAATTACTTCTTTTAAATTGTAAACATTGTGTTTATAAATGCACCCTTAAATTATATTAACTTTACTACTAGCAACAGAGCACCACATAGATGGCTTGAGTGACTTATCCACCACTATGTGAAGATCCTTTTCTTCAGTTACTCTATTCTGTTGGTTCCATTTATAAACTTGGCTTCAGAACATAGTTTATAATTCAAATCTTCATATTATCTAAGTTTCATTTATTTTTTTATTTCAAAAGAAAGTGTTTAACTTCTCAACTTTCATTTTTCTTTATCATGTGGTACTTCTTTGTTCTGAATTGCTCATTTAAAGTACTGAGTTTAGTATTGGGCTCCTTACCTTAGACAGGACATTAAATTGTTGGAAAGTGTTCAAAGGAGGGATAATAGAATGATACCTGGGATGAAAATATTGTCATACAAGAATAGGGTAAGGTCTCTCAACTTGTTTTCTCTTGAAAATATAAGGGTTAAGAGGGGATCTGATTGAGTTGTTTAAAATCATAAAGGGAATTGATTGTGTTGATGCATAATCTTTTTTTTTTGTATTTAATGGTGAGAATGGTTAAACTAGGGGATAAGTGACACAATATAAATTTTGGCAGGGGTATGAGTCACCTTCAACTATTAAAGCTTTTTTTGTCTAACAGGGTGATTGACCTTTGGAATGAGTTGCCTTCAGATGTGGTATATGTAGTTAATTTAAGGGATAGGATGTCCTAGATGAACCAAAAGGTCCCATTTACTTTATGTTTTTGATATTCTTTCCACCCTTATTTACGATTCTGAGTTTTAATACAGATTACTTGGTATAGATATTGCTAAAATGTAACCTCAATTTAGAGCTTCCAATCTTCTTGCATTACTGAGATATACCTTAAAGTTAAACCCACATACCACATCCTCCTATCAAATCCTGTCTTTCAGAAAATGTCAGTAATTTGTTATTGGATTATTTATAACCATAGAGAGAGATTTTAATTTGCCAAATTCCTTATAAGGCTTACTCATTCTGATGACAGAGTTTGAATTGTTCTGCCTGCAATTTCATTCTTTGCTGTTGCCAAACCATCTTGACCAGCCAAAGGAATTATTTGAAATCATTATAGCTTAATTAGAAACCAGTTGAATTATCTATAGGACATTGAATTTTTTTGTGTCTTATTATTTTGTTCTAAGTTGAATATTTGAAATTAAAAAAATATTCACTAAAGTACTGGCAACAACGTTACGAAAAACTTGGTTGGCTTTTACCGAGACTATGACTGCAAAATATTACAGACCCATATATAAGTACTAAATTTTGTGTGCTTTATGTATATATTCTTATTTATTGTTATAAAAGTAATTGAAATGTAAGAATTAGAAACTTGTCAGGTTAGATAAGAAAACTTAAATGAGAAATAAAACAAAATTTCTCCATAAGGAATGCAGGTGAACTGTTAATGTATGATGTAATTCAATACTTTATTGTCTGTAATTTGCACTATGCTTTTGCCAGGTGAGTTATTGGATTGTTACACTAGTTTAGTTTACACAGTTCAAAGAGTACTAAAACTATGAAATTAAATGGGAGCAGTTATGAAAAGGTTAGAGGACTGAAGATTCTCGGATAAATGGCTGCATTCTAGAAAGAAAATAAAAAGGTAAAAGCCAAGGATGATCTCAGTTATGAAGTAGATTAAAACTTCCAAGTAAGAACATAAGAGAGACGAGGCCCATCTTGCTAGTTTGATTGTTGATTCAAGAATATTATTACACTGTTTCTATTCAAAGACTGTTTCAACAGCATAGTTGGGCAGTTTGTTCCAAACACCCATAACTCATTGTATAAAGAAATGCCTTCTTTTATCAGTTGTAAATGTATCTGCACTTCATTTTCAAATTGCTTCAATAGGTTTTTTTTTAGTTTTGGTTTTAAGACAATAGTAATAGAAGGCTCTTGCATAGACCCTGTTGATTTGTTTGGGGAAATTTTTTAATTTATGTTTGCATTTAAAAGCTTTTATTACAGTTCTTATGCATAATATGTGATTGTTTCTGTAGGTTGCATATGATATGTACATTTGTATTTACAAAAAATTTACAAATCTCTCCACTTGGCAGCTTACATTTTTAGTCTTGGATACTTTACTCGATATACTAGTGAAAAAAATAAATAAATAAAAACACTGAAATGTGCTAATTTTAGTTTGTTCTCAGCCTCTTCAGTGTAAGGAAATTATAAGCTTCTAGGGGCTCTGTCTCCAGACTCTTCTTGATGGTATCACTGTTGTCCAAACTAAAATCCTAGATTAGACCCTGGTACTTAAGGATGTGAGGCTTATTTTTCTTGATGTCAGAAAGCTCTATTAGTTGTAAGTAATTCATTTGGTTTGGAGAGTTCAAGAAAACTTTGGTTTATCATTTTCAATTTGCTTGCCACCAAAATAACTGTTGCATGGTTTGTTCATTGACTACTTTGACTCATAAAAAGCTTGAGCCAAAAAAATTACTGTCAGAGTTCTGTTGCAAACTTTCAAAACCAAGAGTAAACTAGAAGCCAACTTTTGAACAATGTTATTTTATTTTTGCTTGATTTGAATCACCTTAACTTCTGTTTAATTTTCTAGAAATCACATTTGAGCTCTTTCCAAAAATTTGATCTAATAAATCAAAATGTCTAAATATAGAATAGATATGTCTTTATTCAAGTAAATGAAAGTCACAACTGTAATCTTAAAACAGTAAGTTATATGGTTTAAAGGTAATGGAAAATGATTGACGATTGAATATTTAATATACTTTTTTATTGAAAATTAGCCAATCTGAAAAACCTGAGGAATTGGTGAATAGATAAAGTTAACAGATTTAAGGATTATTATACATACTTTTTAAAAATATTGTTTACAACTGTACCTGAAACAAAAATTTAACAGGAGTTGATAGGATCTTCATTTTGATTTTAAACATACAATTTACATTTATTTGTGTAAAAATTGAATTAGTGACATACCTCTTCTGGATTCATGTTTGGTAATAAACGTTCTTAAGCACATCAGTTGTGAATGAATTAGTAACTTTTGCTCTCATACAATTGTTTTGGAAGAGTACACAACATTGATTTCCAGTGCAAGATATTCATGTACTTAGGTCATAAAGATCAGATCAGGGATTTAGTTTCCAAGATGGGGATATCCCATGTACTTACTGGCATTGGAAAACAAAGGAATATGGATCAATTTGAGTAACCAGAACACCCCCCCCCCCCAAAAAAAAAGACTTGTATCAAATAAGAATCTTTGAATACAAAGATCAGTGGCAAAAAAAGACATTCATATGCCCTAGGCAACAGTATGTAATGCATATGAAGAAAGATCTTTGTGTGGAAAAATGATGCAAATTACTAATACGTAAGTTACTTACTCAACATATTGTTCAGTTATTGCAAATTTCAAGTAGAATGAAACGAATATTGATACTGTTCCATATGCAGATTTACTAATCAATTGCTGGATACAGAGCATATGAAGTTATGTGCAATTAGACAGTTGAAACAGGTGCATAGGAATCCTCGTTCTCTTGCGCTAGATGAATTACGGAAAAAAACGGGGAGGTTTGGGTTGCATTGGATGTGACAGTCTTATGACGGAGCCTTTTGAAATTGAAACTATGCTGCAGCAGTATTGTCAGATGCAGTATGACCAGACTTGGAGATATGAAGGGTAAAGATGTGATGAAACTCCTAAATCATTTTAATGAAATGTACCTAATATCCATATTATTTACCTTATTTATCACAGTTCTATTGCAATAAAATCTGTTTACTTTTAATAGGAAAACATACTATTTTAGGACTGTTTTTGAGGAAGGATGCTGAAACTTTTCAGAGGAAAAGGGCACCACATTAGTGCAGAAAGACAAAAACTTCAGAAAGAATTGTTTTCATACAACAAGGTATGTTATTTATTTTTATATGTAGCTATAAATTTTACTTCTAAGTGTTTTAAGTTAAGAAAGTACGTACTCAATTGACTTAAGAGAAAAATGAAAAGGACAACATTTAATGAATAACTTTTTCAACTCAGTGTCAAGATCTCTTCTTTTTTTAACTTTTACAATGTTAAACGCCATGAAACTACATCTGTGTGCATATGGGTATATAGCATCTTTAAATAGACAGTGAATCATAAATGTAATTTCTGAAGTTATTAAATGTCATGCAGAACTTGTCAGGATTGGAAATTTATCATTCAGTAGTCTTGGTTTTTGTATAAATGAATAGGTTTTTTATTTGTACTAAAAAATTTGCATAAGATCCTTTGTTTCTGAATATCATGATATTGGACTGTGTGCTTTAACATATACTGTGTAAGCAAAAATTTATTACCTGTGGATAAAAGAACCAGTTACATTGTGCAATGCTTAAAGCTTTTTAAAGACATTATATTGTATTTATGGTGCCCTAACTTTTGAAAATTGTTACTAAATTGTTAATACATTTAAATTTATTCTTAAATTTTAAAGCATAAATATTCATGTTTTGGAACCAAATTTTAGCAAAAGGCCTTATGCTCTGTAATACATTTAAATTTTTTTGTGGTTTACTTTTGATAAATAATGGTACATACTTGTAGTCTATAGGAGATTCAGAAAGGTTTTGTACTAATAATTATATTAGTTGTAATTGTATTTAGGTTTAAGTGCTGCAAAAGTAATGCCAAAAGTTTACTTATTAAAAACCATATTGAGGCGTTATATACATTGTTACATATTGAGAATTTGAAACAATCCAAAGACATGTTAAATAATCTAACTTTTAATAGTTGAACTGTACCCTGGATTTAGTGTTTAGAAATATGCCGATATTTTATTTAATTTACGCTATTTGCCAACAAGATTGATTCACACCATTTTTGTTTTGACCCATTATGATTAGTTATTACAAACAAAGTTTCATAAACAGAAATTTCACTGACTCACAAATAACCTAAAATCCTCTTCCTAGTTCAGAGTCTCCTTGATATCCAGCGAGTTAACTTGAAGTCAATGTATGTACAGTTATTGAAAAACTAGCTAGCTTTGTCAGGCACTGAATTGTTGGACCGTTGAAGTAAGATAATATTTTCATAAAACCACTATTGTCCGATGAGAAACCAGCAATATTTTTGGAAAGATACTAACGTTTGATGAGAATTTACTGACGTTCGAAATTTATAGCTGTTCCTGGCCAAATGTCGTATATTTTCCGGTTGGTAAGGGTCACCAAAATCACGGCTTATCGCGTACACATGGCTATAACAGTTTCCTAGCAGACTTGTATATTAGCTCTGTTCTCTGTTGTTTTTTGGCACATTGCCCTGCTTTTTGTATAGGCGGGACACATTTTCTCGAAATTTTGGAACTGTATTTAACCGGTTACGGAAGTGGATGTATTTTTGATTTCTGTGTTCACTAATATTTTACAATCTTGGAGAATTGGCAGGAGTTTCACCATACGTAACTAACACGGTAAGCTAGACATGCCCTCGCATATAAACTTATTAGAAACAAACGTTTATATTGAAATAAATATATAACAAATTCGTTATACGCAACACATATCTGATACTATAAGTCGTGCATATTTCTAAATACAAATTCAATCCAAACAATATTCATATTAAAGAATGAATTCATAATAATAAATTCGTTACAACATAAATAAAAGTGTTTGCTCTTGTGTTGTTGTTAATATTGCACACATCAAGGGTAAAATTATAGTAGACCTTACACAAAATCAGTAAAAAATTAAAAGGATAAAGTATTATCAAACAGCAGTTAAAAATAGAATACTTATATTCCTGGTATTAGAATTGGTGTTCAAACCTAGTGACTGTTGTTGTGATCTTTCTTAACTTTGTATGTGGAAAGCAACCTCAAACTTTTGAATACTTGGTCATATAGGGGTTTTCTTTCAAACTTTATTCTAGGGGAGAAGGATTTTATTTGATGACTGATCTGACATGGGGCATTCAAATGCTGAAGGGCATATATACAAATTGTCTGGTTGCATTCTCTAAGAATTTTTTATAAGTATATCTAAAATGGTACAGTTTAAAGGCTACCTGATTTTTTCTTACAGAGCTATCATCTAGGAATTAAACCCTGAAATTTGCAAAAAGTCTGGAGGGGGGGGGTGAGCTTCCTCTTTATTCTATGGAAAGAAAAGCCCAGTGTATTATCATGTTTGTCTCAGACTGAATCTTGTGTATTATTAACATTGTCATATGAAAACTAAACTAAAACTTTTAGTTATCAAGAAAGTATTTATGATAGTTCTTTATATTTTTTATATTTTTAACCCTATTGCAACAGGTCACATGCCAAAGGCCATATCATTGCATTTGTTGACTTATTTTTCCTAAAACAGAACAGTAAATAAATAAGTAAAGCAAACAATTATCTCTTCTAGTTCCATCCTTTGTACTCGTTTGCCGCTTGTTGTAGGTTGCTTAGGCTTATTAAGTTTCCTATGTGGGGGATGTGAAAAGAAAATTCTTTTTAGTTTTATGTATACATTTTAAATAACCAAAAAATCATATATTAGTATATCAATACCACAGCATTTCACTAAAATTTATTAAGTGTAGTAACTAAGCTGTATTTGGGTCTACTATGTTTGATTTATTACGTGAGCAATATCTTAGCAAACAGAAAAGATAAGAGGTTCTTATTCTAGCTTGTCAATATTGGTAGTTTGGGTTCCCAGTTTATACGAAGCTGTAGATTTTGTATTTTGACATCCCAAACATCTAATTTGAACCAGTGCTGCATTCAACATACCATGTGACACAAATAAAATTGATGTTTGGCTGTGTTTTTTAATATTTACTTTTATATTGAGAAAACTAACGTATAATACTAAAATTTGATACCAAATTTATTGGCATATATTCATAAAATAGTAGTTGAATAAAATTTTGAATGCAAGTCAAGAAGTGCGATGACATGACCTTTTACATGTGACTTGTCATCATAGGGTTAACTCTATTAACATAGATATCCCTTACTGAGCATGACACAAGGTTTTGGTGTCTTCCATTCAAAAATTTTATTAAACTACTTTTTGTTTATGTTATACCAATTAGTATAGCATAAAATTGTAGCTAATAATCCATATTTAATAGTATATAAGTTCTAAATTCTACAAGGCAATATTAAAAACAATTCATGAATTTCCCATAGTGTGACACACGACACATTTTCTCTTGGTATCTTCTCTTCTCTATTTTATTCACCACCTCTACAATAACTACAAAATTAAATGTAAATTACTCACTATAAAATCGTCATTGCTGAGACACCAAAATGTTTATTGCCTTCAATTTTGTTTGGCTACAGAGCTATCAAAATGAAATTCAGACCCCCTCCTGCCACAACCAGTATTATATGTGAAATTCATGTTTATCTGTCCAGAACACAACATTATACAATACATCATTTGATAGATGAAAACCTTCACTTTCTATTGGTTATAGGTAATATATAATTAAATATATGAGAGAACTATTAACAAATCATGAAAGAAAAGAGGATGTGACAGAATGGTTTATACCCGTGGAAAACTTAATGACTAGCTTGGATGCACTTGTATCGGCTCTTGTCCCATATTTAGAAAGCCAAACATTTTTTCAAATTTAAAGGAAGTTGTCTACTTTTTGCATTTTCTTAGTGCATGTTCTTTGGTGCATTATATAATTAAATAAAAATTATTTAGTGCATTACTACTGTTAGAGAAAATAAGATTGGTTGAGTATTTTTATTTCTTGTTTTTCATGTTTATTTTTTATTTGTTATTATAAAAGTAACTAAAATGTAAAATGTTCAGGTGGCACACACGCGTGAGCGAGCAGCTTGTAGTAGCTCATGGGTAATGTAATTCAGTAGTGTAATGTGAGCTGAATATTCCCAGAGTGACTTACAACTTATAATAGCAGGGATAGTAATTAGACATGGTTCAAAGGGACAATAAAACAATAAAATTTAGTTTTAAATAAATGTATATTGTTACGAGATTAAAGCTACTTAGCATAAACAAATATAGTTTCACACTACATTTGGAGTCATTCTAGAAAGAAAAAGAGGGTAATTTAGATTCAATTCAATTTTTTTGGGGGGGGTTACAAGGTCAGTCAAATTGACCAACCATGTATAGAGTTAGAGTAGAGAAAATAACAGAAAAAATATGAAGTTTACTGAAAACAAACATTTGAAATATATTTAATAGAGATTACACAAATGATTTTGGAGATGAAAAAAAATTTTTTTTAATCTTAACATGAAAATCACTTTGCACATGAACTTTTCAAAACAAATACTCAATGTATTCATGAGACAAATTTAGATTTTAGTTTATTAAAAATACTTCAATAAAAAATATATGATTTTTTTTTCTATGTGAAAGACTTATAATGTTCAATGAAAGACTTCCATATTTTGTGAAGATATACAAACTGTATTAAAAGTTAGAAGTATTAAATCTATAAAGACTTTAAATGAGTACAAAGAGGTCATGTGGTTGGTCAAATTGACCATGCTCATGTCGAGAGAGTTAACAAGAAACTTGCCCTTGCTTGGCATTACATGATTATCTTAACGAGAGAGATGATAATTATTGCTTATACTAATTGGATGCAACCTCCCATGCGGTATACATCATATTTGTTTATTTTATTTATTGAAATAGTTTACATGTTTAATGCATATATATTTGTGATGTTAGTTTTCTTGAAATAGCTTGCATGTTTAATGCATATATTTGTGATGTTATTTGTACATTCCTTGTAGTGCAATACAAGTATTACCAGGATTGTGGTGATTGGGAAGGAAGCACTAATACATAATGTTGTTTAAAGTACTATGTAGATAACATTAATAAATTGTACTATTTAAGTACTCTAATATATTATTTAACAGCGCTATGTATAATGTTTTAAAACTATAGATGTGTATTGTTTATTTTGAAATTGGGATTGTCATGTAACAATGATTGTTGACCTTGTATGTGTAATTCATTGTACTGTACATTAATTTATCTTGAACTAATAAAGAAAAGTTAATATTTACAAATGTTTGAAAGTGTTCTTTCTTGTATTGAAAACTAAAAGTGAAGGTATTAGAGATATAACACTCATTAATTTACTGTTGAATTAAGTATAATTCTTCTCTTATAGCTTATTCCTCATGGCTTTACCCACCGACCAAGTGCATTTGCCTGGGACCCAAAATTGAATTTGATAGCCATAGGGACCCGTAGCGGATTTGTTAGAATGTATCCTTATTGTTTGTATTTGGACCACTGACTGAGAGATAAAATTGATAGTAATGTACATCCATTCTTGTTACATGCAGATGCTTATTTTAAAAAGCTACAGTTTACCATTAATATGTACTTGTTTGTAAAACAGCATTTTTGTGACATCTAACATTAGATCATAATTGGCACTTTATAGCAAATGCTCCTAATATTATTTGTATTTTTGTTATTTTTAAACTAAACTCTCTGAATTGGTAAGTTGTAAAAATGGATTTGAAACTGGCCATGATTACCAGAATTTGGAAATTGGTCATCTGACATAAGACATGCTGTGTTATCAACTTATGTACAAGTACACTCAGAATATAAAGTTGTATTAAAATATTTTTTATCTTTTACACTATAGTAGACATCAATTCATGAATAAGGTTTACCATTTTTAAATACTTGGAGTTCAAAATCAAATCATTTGACTTGTTTATGAATGTTTCACAAGCTGCTAATACATAGAGCATTGTGGATGTTATTATTTAACACTAATTAGTAAATTCAGTTTATTTAAATATATACAATTCTGTGTAAACCTGTTAGGCAGGTATCTATTACTATTACAGCTATGCTATGCCTTGTTTTTTTTAGTTATTGCAGCATAACAAATGTGATACCTCATTACCAGATAACTTGTATAGAAATTATATAATACAAAACCCAGTGAAAAGGGTAGTTATCAGCAGTGTTGTGCTCACTGGTGAGGCTGTTCTTCAAAATTTATTTACATCTATTCTATTAAGCACTTGCTAACAGATGGATTGATTGATATGGTACATTAATACATTTAAAAAATAATAATAATAGATTTTAAGTCAATAATATATGGTTCCTAGAAATAATTTTTCAATATTAATGTTTAACTGCAAATTCAAATGTTTATTTAAACTTATATTTTGCTTATGCTATGTTTGAACTTTCAAGAAAAGTAAACTAATGTTATTCCAATGCATACTTGACTAGCTAACATTGTTGCAAATGATTTACTCATGAAATTGATTGTTTGCACAACTAAATTGCTGGCTGGGCTGATAAAACTGATTGAAAAAACAAAATCAAAGCTTCATGGTTAATGGTAAAAGATTGAGTTATTATGTTTGTATTATATAGCCACCTAAGTTTGCAATTACTGGTGGTAAATATGTAAGACCAATTTGCCACTCCAAAAGTTGAGTGTTATTGTCACTGTTGACAATATTTCCATAGGCCGAAACTGCTAATTCTTATAAATGGAATATAAATGAATATAAAATGGACAATCTTGACCATCCCTTTACAATTCTACATAAAATTATACATTTCTTACTTATTTTCAATATATTTGTTAATACTGAAACATATTACAGTAGACCTCACTTGTAATTCAAGCTTTAATAATAAACTGATCTCAAGGCCTTTTAGTAACATGTATTTGTTGTTCAGTCATAATTGAAAACAAAGAATAGTAGGTGGTAATCAATATACTGTTTTAACTTTCTGCTATAAGTTTGATTTGTTTGCATTTGCTTCATGGTTATGAACAAAATAAGTAATAAATAATGTAAGTTTTTAAAAATAAATATAGGAGTGGTAATGTCCTTGTGTCCTTGTTGAAGGTGTTAATATATTTTTCAAAGTCACTCATGAATCTCTTTCCTGATATTTCAAAGATGACTTCTACTTGAATGAAGATTTCATCAAAGTAATCTTTCTTCTTCGGTCTTCTATATTTGTCTGTTACTTCAAATATTGGTGTAGTATCAGATTAGTTGTAGAACTTGTATCTTATATCATGAGGAGATAATGTTCCTACATGAGCCAGTTTCTGTGTATATTCAGCACAGTCAGATGTCGCATCTGTCCAATGTATACCTATACCCTGTCTACTACTATTGGTTCCCAGTTCTTCTTGAAACCCAGGGTTGTAGGCGTATACACTTTGTAAACTGAATTTTTCAGATACAAATCTGTATCTAAATCCAGATGCTACCGTTATATCACTGGCCTGTACTATAATATTAATAATAGAAACATCATTCAGGAAGAAGGGAACCACTACTTTCATACGTTTAGTGCCCAAGGCTGGAGGGTCAGCCTTGTCCTTGACCCCCAAAGGGCTTTAATGTTAGTAGGTTTCATTTTTCTTACTTCAGGCATATTGCTGCATCAAATGAATTCTCCTTGGTCTTGTCTTACTTGTATACTCTTTTCCCCTAGTGGCAAGTGGAGACACTATTGAGTCTCACAGCATGGTAATAATGGGAGAAACTCATGCCCTTGTGCTCTGGCATGAGGAAGCTCAACCATGTGACTAGCCACCTTATCTGTGACAGTGGCATCGCAGTCATTCACTGTTTTTAATACTGAAATTCCATCACACCTCCAAATTCCACGTGCACCAAGAAAAGGGTTTTGATTAAAACACTGTTGACGACAAAAGATCTTTTTTTTTTTCTTGGGTATTGCAAAAGGTGTATAGAAGGTAAAATGAGAAACCTTGAAATGACATGCAAGTCTGTTTCAATATTAGGAAAATGTAACACAGAACAGGGATTTGATAAACAAGTATTTACTGTATTTTGTAGTCTTTTGCTGAGTTTTTACAGTTTTGGTGATTCAATTATATCATGTAATCAACATTGCAGTGTAAATGAGTAGGTCTACTTACAGAAAGGTCTGGTATACATAAGATAAGAACACTTAGTACAAGAACAAAATGAAAGCCACATTTAATACAGAAAACCAACAGCATTTGTTTAATAATTTTGTTCTTGCTGTCAAGATGGCATAAAAACAGTCAAAACAAAGTGAATGTACTTTTTAATTTAGTATGTAACACAATGATTTTCATTTTTGAAATTCCTTTTGTTTTGGACTCTTTTACAAGCTGTGTTCAATCTACAAACTTTCCAGTAATGAGCAGCTAATGAGAAACCTAATGTTGAGAATACAGATGCTTAGCAGAAGATTGGCACAATAATCAAAGAAGCCACTTGTGTTTTCTCAGTATCTGATAGCTAAAATATAAGATTCTCAATGAAATACTAACTTAATGGTGACCACTCCTTAGCTATTCTTTTATTCATTCACTAACACCAATGAATCTTGTTTGATGCACCATAAATTACAGTGCAGAGCAATGTTGCTGCATTATTACTGAACTGGGATAAGTTTTCTTTTGATTTAATATCCAGGCATTATCAATGCACTTGAGAGATGATAAAGAAAGAATATATATGCCTCCACCTCTATGGATGTATAGCTGTTTCAACCTGGTGTTTCATAGATATATACAATTCTAAGACATTCTCAGCAAATCTATACGAGGGTAAAGAAATTTTTTATAAACAAAGGTATACCAGTAGTAATTTTGAAGTATTGCATAGTGCAGTACTTTAATCCATTAGAACTTGTACAGCTTAATGAGCTTCATCCACTTAGCTTCTCAAAAACTAAAATCTGTAATCTGCTGCTGTAAAAAAATTTACTTTTTCATTGTTGTCCATGGGAGATCCATATTTACAACAAGAAATAATTTACCCAAAAATACATGCATAATTAGGAAATAGTTGACTCCTTAAAATGTTTCAATACAGTTACTCTACTGAGCTATCATTGCTCAAAACCTAAGTAGTCTAGCTCCCAAGTTCACATTCACAGTAACCCTTTTTATGTAAAATAAGGCTTTCTTCTTCAACTGTAATGATTGAAAGGTGGGTGGAAGTAGTTCAGTTTGCTGGAGAATTATGTTGCAAAATTGTGTGAATTCCAGGATAAGGATTTTTTACCCTTACTGATGACCATCTGTCAGTGAGCCATTTGGGATGTTGGCATCGTGTCTGTGCAGAGCATATTTTGCCATACATATACTGGCTACTGCTTACCACTCTGTTTTTTTGTGCACTCTGCACAAGTGGCGAAAATCTGGTTAGTGGTTGAACCGCACGTCCAAATGTTGATCTGAGATATTAACATCATTTTCTGAGAGGAAGACATTTCTGTTCTAACTGCTGGTGGGATAAAGTCTTGGTAATTAAGCTAAACACAAGAATAACACTAGGCCTATTGTGGAGCTGTGCTTACAACACAAGTATTAATGTACCATTCTATATACTTGTTTGGCCTTTGAGGGTAGGACATCACTTAAATGTAACTGAGAAGGTTTCAGTGACCTTGAAATGAATAAATCATAATGGTAGCTCATATTCAAAGCTGTTCTTGCACAAGGAGAAATAGTAATGTAACGAAGGTACTCATTTCTTTTGTTAATTCAAGAATGAAGTTTTTTTTTTTTTGTACTGAACACACTGACTCTAAAAATCACTCTTCACCATTTTGAATATTTTGCTCTTGAGATGACCATTTTCAAGTTACAGAAGTAGTATTCACTTTGCTTGTAAGAGTAATTGTTCAAGTTCTTATCAGTTTTTCCTTGTTGTGGATAGAAAATGTTAGTTTTGTTTTACTATAGAGTTCTGAGAGTGATGCTTCACAAAGTTAAAGTAACTTAAGAATGAAATACACAACACCCCCATCGTGAATACTTCAGATATCATCTGTCACACAGAACAAGACCTTTACTTTAGCCTGCAATACAACATTACAAATAAGAAACTTTGTAAACCAGTAAAACCCACAAAGCACCAGCTACCAATTCTAGGCCAACAACTCGCACAAATAACACTAGTTCAGCCACTGAGTCAAGCATGTACAAAGATGGTTAGCTTCATAGTTTACTCAGTTTGAATAGTTCTTGGGGTGGGACAACCACTTGTTAGGCACAAACATAATAGTTCAGGAAGTTAACACATATACCATGACCAAGACTTTGGCTCTCATCAATGTTTTGAGCCCAGTGCTTGACAAGAACCCTGTGGTATTTAGGTACCTTAAAGCACCCTATAATTTAGTTTCTGGATTTATTTTTATTCATAAAATTTGAATACAGGTGTACTTGGTTAAAAGATTGAGATTAACGTGATGTACCCAACCGTAAACTGTGCTAAACCTGCTCTAAGGAATTGCCAAACATGGTTGAAGACATGGACACAGTTTTATCTTTCCTTACAGCTGGCTGACATGCTGGATTATTTATTAAACTTCTGTCCCTGAGTTTTGACATTTTTTTTGTTAAAGGGACCTGCCTATTGAGAAGGATGACTTGGTGTATTGGAATTTAGAGCAAAGCTAGTAGTTTTGGAATGCAATTTAAGGCAAAGCTAGAACTTTCAGATTTTCCATAGTGTTGCATTTGTTAAGTTATGTCAGTAGATAATTCTTGGTTTCTTGTCTTGTGTTGTTTTATTATTCTTACCCTATATACAGAATAACTGTACCTAGAGACAAAGTGATAGAAAAAAGTGTTAATACATTATTTGACCAGTCAGTGTCTTTTTGAAGCAGACTGTATGTACCAAGTTTAATTTTTTGTTTTTGTTTATTGAACAACTTGTGACATTCTTTCTAATTTTCAAGTGGATCAAACTCAATTACAAATTTGATGAATTTTGTTTTACTTTAGTTAATAGCTTATCTCATGGTTTTAACCTGATGACCACCAGCTACTAACTTTCTGCATAGCCAACCAAGTCTTGCTATATTTTGTTCCAACAATAAAACTAGTGGATGAAATT